AGGATGATCCAAAGACTTTCGATGAAGCAATGTCTACACCGGAAGCATTGCATTGGAAAGAAGCTATCAATAATGAGATAGATTCTATAATGTAAAACCATAAATGAGAGTTGATTGATTTACCTCCTGGTAACAAGCCTTTAGAATGCAAATGGATATTCAAAAAGAAATTGAAAACTGACGGATCCATTGATAAATATAAGGCTAGATTGGTTGTTAAAAGATATAGGCAAAAAGAAGGACTTGATTTCTTTGATACCTACTCACCCGTGACTAGAATCACGTCGATAAGGTTGTTAATTGCAATTGTAGCAATACACAATCTTGAGATTCATCAAATGGATGTAAAAACAGCTAAACGATGAGTTAGAAAAGGAGATTTACATGGAGCAACCTGAAGGGTTCGTTTCTCCTAATCAAAAACACAAAGTGTGTAAACTTGTTAAGTCCTTGTATGGATTAAAACAGGCTCCTCAACAATGGTACCAAAAGTTTGACAAAATAATGTTGTCAAATGGATTCAAGATCAACGAATGTGTCAAATGTGTATCTATTAAACATACACCGTATGCCTATGTAATTGTATGTCTATATTTGGACGACATGTTAATAATGGACAATTGTCACGAAATGTTGCTTAACACCAAAAAGATGCTAACAAAGTATTTTGATATGAAAGATATGGGTGTGGCAGATATAATCCTAGGGATTAAATCCCTAGAACGCAATATGAAATTGTAATTTTACAATCTCACTACATAGAAAAAGTACTTAAGAAGTTTGACGTATTTGAGGAAAGTCCTGGGAGAACTCCTCTTGATCCGAGTATGCACTTAGTCAAGAATACAGGAGAAAACATATCACAACTAAGGTATTCATAAATAATTGACAGTCTTATGTAAATTACAAACTGCACTCGACCGGATATTGCTTTTGCGGTGAATAACCTTAGTAGATTTACAAGTAATCCAAACCATGATCATTGGAAGACTTTGACGAAGGTTCTAAGGTACTTGAAGTATACCTTAACCTATGGATTACACTTCACAAAATATCCTGCGGTACTAGAAGGGTATTATGGTGCGAATTGGATATCCAATATGAAGGATTCCAAGTCCACTAGTGGTTATGTATTCACCATTGGTGGAGCTGCTGTATCATGGAAATCAACAAAGCAAACGGCCATAGCTCGATCAACGATGGAATCTGAGTTTATTGCTTTGGACAAAGCTGGAGAAGAAGCCGAATAGTTTCGAAATTTCTTAGAAGATGTTCCATGTTGGCCCAAGACAGTACCTGCGATAAGTATACATTGTGATAGTCAATCAGCATTGGAATGGCTCGAAGCAGCATGTATAATGGTAAGTCTAAACATATTCATCGTAGACACAATACCATTAAACAACTAATCTCAAATGGCATTATTTCCATAGATTATGTGAAATCAAAGGAAAATATTGTAGATCCACTTACGAAAAGTATGCCTAGAGATTAAATGCGTTGTCTATCGAGAGGAATGAGATTAAAGCCTACTACGTAAGAGTTTTTGCAATGGTAACCCTACCTTGTTGACTGGAGATCCCAAGATCTTGGTTCAAAGGGACAATTAAGTTGTGAAAATTCCATGAAGCACTTAGAAAATTAGAATTCCTAACTCATTCCTATGATACTAAAGTGCTTTCTGCAGAGTGAATAGAGGCTAAGATTATCTTTTAATGATTCCTATATCTTGATTAAGTCAAGTGGAGTAGGGCAAAATACTCTTAATAGCAGGTCACCTATGTAAGTGTGAAGTGGGGCCGCTTCGTTAAGAATTGTTTAAGGTTTGAATTCTCTAAACACTTATGAAACCAAGAAGGACTCAGGGCCAAAATGAACCAAGTCATGAGAACTAAGTACAGAATAGGGAAGATATCTGTGTGAGTACTGTTGTCTTGATTTACACCAAAGCCTGAGTGGTTCAAGACCTATGGTTCACCAATTAGCCCAGTAAGTCCGATAGTATTTCACTAAGGAAGGTTCAAGGTCAGAAGCCACCATCCCTGATGCAGTATTTTTTCGCACTCTCTCTACATTGCATCATATCATCGCATTTGCATATGCGTACCCGAATTTCCATTCATGTGGGGGATTGTAGGAATTGGTTCAAATTATTAACCAAAAATTGGAAAATGAAAAGGCACGTAAAAGTGAAAAATGAAAATGTGTGACTACGTGTCAACTTCGACCAAATATTCGGACTTGATCCGATGGTCAGATTACAAAAGTAAATAGACCAACTTATTTTACTCGTCGATTAGATCGTCGTGGTATATTTGGAATCTCGAAACTAATTCCGGATGAATGAAAAATTGCGGACCAAAGTTGTAAGAAATGAAGTGTTGTAACTCTTTTGAAAGGATGCAAGTTTTGGCTAAGTGTTGCAACTTTTTTAAAAGGATGTATGTTTTGGACCACATTACTGCATTTGCACCCTTTCTGCATCTATAAATAGAACCCTATGAACATGGTTTTGGGTACACCAATTACATTGAGCATTCATTCTTCTCTTACAATTCTCCCCTTTCTAATTCCATAGTATTTCATACATTTTCTTTGTAGAGGGGAAATTCTGTCAAAAGTTCGTCGGTTTCTTGTGATTTGAAGTGCTGCTACCACAAATTGTGAATCCATTGTATCTTGGAAGACAAGTGTCATTCACCGTGAGCACCGTAACGAGGCAATTTGTCTTAAGGAAAAAGATACGTCTCGCCTTGAATTATTCTCTATTTCTACTCCTTCTTAATCCTTGTTTTGCGTAATCTTTATACCAAAACTTTGTCCAAACTTTCATTCATATAAATTGTGTTTTGATCACGCTCTTGCGGGTTAAAACTGGTCAAACAAATATATCAAAAACCAACACTTACATAACCCTTTTTATAAGTCGTCTCCAACAGATAGAGATTAGAAAAGGTATGAGAAAAGGTAAAAAAGGTACCTAGTAGTGAACTGTGGGAAACTCGTTTGTGAATAGTACTCAAACCGGATTGGGATTTCAAGTGTGAAAGCCTTGCCACGAGGATGAATAATGATCTGATCATCCTTACCTTATAAGGGCAGATCTTTAAGGTTTATTGATTGATACAATAGAATTAAACTGATATTTGGTTCATTTTGTTATTAAGCCCCTGTTTGACCCCCATTATCTGAAAATGAAAATGGGGGGGAATAATATTTTTTAGAAAAATGAGTGGTTGAAAATGAAAGAAAAGTTTTCGATTTACGTGTAATATTATTTTATGGAAGATTGTGTGGTTAAAAATAGGAGAGAGAAAAATGGAATGTAATGTAATTGAATTTAATGGGGATCAAACGGGGGCTAAATATGTACTCTGGAAAATTTACGTGGATAACATGAAGAATGCAGTGCAACTTTGCATTATAACTCAATGGACAAGGTTTTCTTCTTTCCAAATGGTGCTTGTCACCTGGTTATGTGATACTTACATCACTCTTTCATACGTTCTTTAGAATCAACGCCTTAATTATCGTTGCATTTTATACAGAGGATTTTTGAAACACGTATCATATACTATTCATGATGCGTACTAATATGGCCCACTATTGAACTAACTTATTTAGCTTCATTAGAGTCATTAAAGCTCATTTCCTTATTCCATGATATTTTGGCACATGGCCGCAGTAGATAACCCATCAAAATCCTATTCATGCAAATACGAAATGCAGCCTGTGAATTTCCACGATAAACTTAGCCAAGTTTTCGTTTCAAATTTCAAATTTCCATCATTTAGAATGACTTTTATATCTAATTGCAATGGTTGAAAGTACGACTTATATTTTCCCCTTTGTTGTCCGTGTTTATGAAAATCGACAACAGATGCTACAATCTATTAGGATCTGGTGCTGCTGTTTACAGTAGTTACGGTGAAAATATTAAAGAAATTTGCATCGTCCTTCTACGTATCATTTTTCTATTACAGGTATAAATAGGCCAGTTTAAATTCATTCAAACTGCTTAAATCATGCTTGATAATAATCAACACTCAAAATTGATTTATTTCTGCTGATAATTTTATTTTTATTTTATTTTTTTTAATGAATTTCATAGCTAAAAGTGTTTCGTACAAGCACAACGATATGACAGAAAAGGAAGATGGAAATACAAACTTCAAATCTTAACAGCTGGGGTTTTGAGGCAATAACTGTTGGAATTTGGTTTAAAGATCGAAAATTTTGGTTTGAGTATAATATATCGAAAATGACTTTGTGTCAATTTTGGCCAAATATTCGAACTTGATTCAACAGTCAAATTATAAATGTAAATAGATTAACTTATTTTACTCATCAAGTAGACCATCGTGGTAAATTTGGAATCTTAAAACCAATTCCATATGAATGTGAAATTGTGGTTCAAAATTGGAAAGAAAAGAAGAAAAGCTGGCCGGGAAATCTGCCCAACTCCAGCACTCGAGCGACAGGCGGGCGAAAAGTTTTTGTTGAAAAAATGATACTGGTGCTCAAGTGACAGGCCAACAACAATTTAGGGACAACAAGGGATAGCACCTTTGTAAAGTTGTAGAGTTTGGGGCGTGTCACTTCATTCACAACCTCTCATCTTCTATAAATAAGACCCCATAGACGTCGATTAGACATCCCATATCATTTATATTGAGCATCATATCAAAAACTCTCCAAAATACATTCCAAAAATCATTTTCTTGGAGAGGGAAGAATTTCGTTCGAGCCGTGGTTTAAAATGCTTTTACCACAAGTTATATCCGTTGTATCATGAAAGACAAGTGTCATAATTTGTTAGCACCTTTGCAAGAAAGTGTCTATCACTTGTCTCGGATTAATTTCCTAGTTTCTTTCGTTTTTCTTCTTTCTTTTTATTTCTATTTTTCATAGAGTTTAATTACGCTCCTGCGAATTAAACTTAACCATTATTCTAAATATCGACAAACAACCATTTTCCTACAAATATCAACAACAATAGGTGACAGAAATGACCTTTCTCATGTTTATTTATGGACTTCGCCAACTATATTTGAGCATAAAATACTTCAATTTCGGGAAAAAATTGCTTTACTTTGATTCTTCAGTCACACGTATGTACTTGGAGTCCCATCGGTTGGTGAGGGTGCAGATCCTACCCGTTTGCCTCTTTCACTTCTGCTGTTTTCGGAGAATTTCATGCTCGCCATGTGAATGCCTCTTTCTTTCTCTGCTGAATTCCATTCAGACATGTAGTAGTCTTCTTCTGTAGTGCCTTCCGAAGATGGACCAAAAAACATTCCACCCCATTGTGGGAAGTATAACAACATAATTAGGAGGGTGCAGCATATGATCATAATCCCCATAAGTGTTATACCGGTTTCTGTCGAGTATCTTGATCCTCTAAAAAAAATTACTTGAGTTAGAACCGCACCTACATTTCCACCTCCACCCGTCATCCCAGATATAATGCCCAAAGACCTGATGAGTCATTATTAAGTCGATCAGCAAGCAATGAAATAAACAGATGGAAAAAGCTGATTGAACAGGCTCAACGGGGTTGAAATGGCAATTTATGATTCACAGTTTTTTTTTTTTTTAATGAAAATTTGTCAAGTGTATATTTCTATAAAACCCGGGCATTGACCCTGTTCCTGTAGCAGATCTGTAAGTATATTAGGCTCGACACAAAAAAAAAGTAATAGAATGTGAATAACTGGTAGAGAAAATACCTTCTTGAAACAAAAGGAACGATTCCAAAAGTAAGGCCGCACGCAGCTTGCACGAAGACGGAAAATATAATCATTACAGCGACCGAAACACCCAAAGATCCTACTTTGCCTAAAAGAATGCAGAAAATGCCACCCAATGTCTGCACTATCCACAGTGCCCATAGCCTGCCCCTCATTCCAAACCTCTTTGCCATAATATCTGATAGAATCCCCCCTCCGGGCCGCGAGAATAAATTTGCCAATCCAAAACTGGCTGCAATAATTCCAGCAGTATGAAGGTTCACATTGAATCTATCATAGAAATACTGTGCAATTATGTTGTCAATAGTAAGTTCAACCCCAAAACAATAACCATAAGTTAATGCCAAGATCCACCCTCTGTAATTCGTAATTGCATGATAGAAAATCTGTGAAAAACTATCTTTGTGTTTATCTCCTGATTTATGCAGTTGTGAGTAGTTTCCATCGGGTAAATCTTGGCCAAGGAAGAAAATAGCGTATGCTGATAGAGTTTGAAACAGGGCAGGGATGAGAAATGCTATTCTCCAAGCTGTGAACTTAGTTGCACCAATATTTTGGATAAGGCTAAAGACCAGAGGCATGATAAGCTGTGTTGCGCCACCTCCAAGATTGCCCCACCCGCCAGCGATGCCATTTGCAGTGCCAACGACCTTAGAAGAGAACAAGGAGCTCATCCAGAATTGGGTTGAGACAAAAGTTGCAAGGGAGAAGCCAGTGAAAAACCGGATTAAAAGAAACGAGGTAGCAGAATTGGCAATGGCAGTGCAGTAAACAGCTGGTGCAGTTATAAGGGTGAGAGAAGCAGAGGCTAATCGAGGACCGAATAAATCACAAGCTGTTCCCATGGCAACTCTTGCAAAAACTGCGCCTGAAACTGCTGCAATTCCTGCATTTCCAATGTCTGTAGCCGTTAAATCAAGATCATCACGAATGATGGGAAGGAGGGGTGGAGCAGCAAAAGTGGAGACGAAACAGGCGAAGAAAGAAATCCACGACAGATGAAATGCCCGCATATGAGGAGCAGCCACTGAAAATAATCTGAATTCAGTGGCTTTATGTTCAGAATCTACAGGTAGAGCAAATTTCTTCTGAATCTTCTGAACAGATTCAGGTGCACCATAAGAGCCTTCCATATTGGATTTCACTGCACAAGAGATGCTCAAAAGAGAATTTGAATTAGTAAACTTAAATTTACTGCCTCCCTACCTTTCTGGTGAAGCACAAAATGAGATGGAAGCTACAATTGGCTTATATAGTGCTGGAGTCTTTGAACTTAACGTGAGTTGCTATCCATTCTTATTGACTTTGTCAACAGTGAAGGAGGTTGTCTTCAAAAAGGAGTGTTGCTATAAAATACTATTTAAGTGTGCAATTGCAAATAATATACTACTATATTAAGAAATTTGAATGGAAATCATTTACAAATATGAACTCAATGTAGTCCAAACAGAAATCCTGGTATGAAAAATAACTTGTACTACTTTTTGTTTTCTATAGTTAGAGATAAGTGTACTAATTTGACGATCAAAATATTATCTTGGATAGTAAAGACATGGACATGTTTTGAAGTACAAATTTACTTGAATGTAACCTCTACATGTTTTCTAAGATTAGCCACACAAGCAGTCTATATTGAAAAATACCCACTTCTCTTTTTGGAAAATTGGCAATATTCAAACTTTTCTAGATTCAGACGGCAGATTCTGCTCACCAGAAGCTTGAAATGAATGTCATACAAGTGACCTTTTGTGGGTTATGCTCACCAGAAGCTTGAAATGAATGTCATACAAGTGACCTTTTGTGGGTTAGAAAGGGAGTCCCAAAGGTTCAAAAATAATCCCTGTCGCCGATTCTCATTGTTTTTTTGCTGTTTGGCATGTGGGAATGGAATTTGCATATGTGAACGTATCGTTTTAAGATTTTGATCGTTAAAAAGTCAGATAATCGGTGGCTAGCTAGTGGTCTAAATTCAAAGGTTTCTGTACAATATGACAGTGATATTCAATTCAAGAAAACAAGCTGTTCCATCCACTGAATTTGGAGCATAGGAATCCAAGTGAATGTGCAATATTTGACTTGGTAAGAGATACTTTATAAAATATCCATGAATAGTGTGTAATAATAATTGCATCCTTCATTCATCTTACGAGAATAATGTTATTTAATATCAGTAATAATAAAATATCGATTTAGATGATACTAAATGACACAAGCCCCTATTTGGTACAAATTAAATTCTAAATTTTAATCTAACTCAAAATCAACAAAAAATTTTGACCACATATTTTATGGATCCCACAACCTTTTAGTCATACATTTCATTGATTTCTATCAAAATCTACTAAAAATCTGATTTTAATCCTAGCAAAAGGGGTTAAATAAGGTTTATATGATGTTATAGCACCACTGATTCTATGTAGTGTTATTTTTTAACAAGGATGGTATTGTATCGGCATATACGGACAAACGTGACCCTGAGTTGGATTGAAAGGAGATACAGTGGAGCACGGTGTGATCGAAAGAGTTGTCTCACTATTGTGCAGTTAGTTAGCCACATACGGTTACCTGCACGATTCGCTTGGCAACATAAGATGGTTGAAGACCGTGTTAATAAACTTCCACGTTTTTATGTGCAATGTTGAAAAATTGACTAAAAGAAGTGCCAAGTAAATATTAATTTTTAAAAAGAGAAAATAATCCTCGTGCAACCATTGTGTAATCCTCGTGCAATCTCATCATTTCTTTAAAATGGAGCAAAAAGAAGCAATAGTTGGTTGGGAGAGCAAACTTCCCAAAGTTCATGATGTACCAGATGAAATTGGTATGCAAGTATCACATTGGACAGCCGGATTGATTAAAGAAATTGTTGTTTGTAATCGGTGATTATTTCCATCAACATATACGTGACATCAAAGTAATTGTTACACTCTCTTATATATCTTGAAATACATTTTAATTCATTGAAAAATATGTCAGTACTCAAATGCTACATGGACTACTGATAAGGAAGCACTAATTACAAATAGCAAAATTCATGTACTGACAAACTTTTCTTCTTAAAATAAGCACGAGGTAAAATGGTTTTTTGAAGAAAATATTATATTTTTCCTTTAACAAAAGTTATGTAACAAGATTTCTTAATTCCCGAGATGCAACACGTTTGCAAACCCATAATATCATTTTTTATATTTTTTTTTATTTTTAAACTGGGTGTGATGATACAAATAATATTGGACCATAATGCGCAACTTAGTTGCTGAAAGATAATTGATTACCAGCCACTGAGGATGATTAAGGAATGGCTGAGAGTTTTGTTCTTAAATTACTTTTACTGTTTTCTACTTTTTAAATTAAAGTTACCAAATTGTGCCATGATTTGACATCACTTGTTATTTCAGTCCCGTTACAGTGACATAAAATGACAAAATCGGGAATTCAATATTTCAATGGCAATTTTGCATTTATTTAAAAGATATTTATTTTGTACAATTTTAACTAATTAATTATTATACATTTAGCTAAGTTTAACGTTTGAAATGTCGAATTTCGTCAATCAACTTGTAATAATTAAATAGGTTTTCTTGCTGAAATGTTGTTTCAACTTTTAAAAATTCAACATTCTTACAACTAAAGGGTGATTTGGTCTGTTTAAATAATTTTTTATTTTATTACTGGTATTATTTTATCGTGTGATCTTTTTGATAGGATATTCATGGTGAATATAGAATCTTGTAAGTATCTAATAAACAATTATTGTGGCCGTCCTGTGCATGCGTGCCTCTTGTAAGCAATTAAACCCTAATATCGAGATCTTAAGAATTTCATGATTTTCACATATAACTTAATTGATCAAGAAACATAACTTGATCCATGACAATTATTGAGGAATTTAAATTTACTAAAAAAGAAACTGTTAAATTAAAGAAATTGTTTTCTCACTTTTCCTCTTTGTAATTAAATGAATTAATTGATGAGTTTCATTCACGTTTATAGGCAGAAAGAGACAATTTCCTATGGGTCATAAAACTCCCCCCTTTCCATCAAAGTGAACAGTTATAAAATTATCACTTTTCAAGTGGGCTAATAGGATTTTAGTAATATTAATAATTGTCAAAAACAAGTGATGAGCTCATAATGTCAATACATAAGCAAGTGATGTCAAATCATGGCACAATGTCAATACACAAGCATCATAATTACATAATAATGTCAATGATAATTTTTAATAATACCCATACTTTGGACATGTTTATTAAATGTCTTTGGTGGCAGTCCTTTCGTTAGTAGATCTGCAATCATAAGATTTGTGCTAATATGCTTGACACCTTTTGTTTTTAAACTTCTTCTTTAACGGCAAAGTACTTCAGTTCCATGTATTTAGCACCTTTAGAGTATTTGTCATTCTTTAAAAAGATCGTTGCATAATTGTCACAATAAAGTTTTACTGGCCTTGCTATACTGTCGACAATTTCAAGTCCTGAAATAAAGTTCCACGACCAATTTCCTTGAACTGTGACCTCAAAGCATGTCACAAACTTGTTAGAAGTGTGACTCAAATAGAAGTCTAAATTGCATTAGATTTCTTACTTTTTTTGAGACTCTTTTAGGACTAGATTTTATACTATTAATACAAGGCTCCTCTGCCAATTTTATTGAAGCCTTTTGCTGTATTGTGCTCTCCTTTCATAGCGAATAAAATAACATCGTTCCTCTACCAGTTCTTTTATTTCTTTACTTTAATCTTGTTTGTGGTTTTTCGTGATCTTATTAATTACTTCAATTACAACAAGTCGTATTCATTAAATCTCAATTCCTGCATTATTGATCAATCGGTCTCAACAAGTGGTATCAGAGCGGGGTTATTGGTGGATTTTTGGTCTGAAACTGATCGGAAAATATTCTGAAAATTACCAGAAAATCAGAAACGAATCTGTCCAATTTTTCGATTTTTTGTCGGATCTGTTTTTGCATTTTCTGGTCAAACCAAAACGAATTTGGAGAAACGAACACTACCAGTGGACTCAATATACAGAAACGGTCCAGAAAGGGTCATAGGTCGTCGGCGCGTTTTTCGGCTAATCGCCGGTAGTGGTAACTCTGGCGAGAGAGTGACGGCGCATGAGGCATTTTTCGACGACAGTGTCTTCAGGTAGTTTTCTCCAGACGACAAGACGGACCTTGTGGTGATGTCTAATTTCAGCTTTGGCCAAAATTGTGGTTCTGGACTATTTTGCCCCTTGCACATTCGGTAGTTTTCAGTTTTGGGTGTAGCAGGTTGCAAGTTCTTCGTGATTAGATTGAGATTTTTTAGAGATGATTTCGTTGAAATATGAAATTTCGCTATTGGATCGCAATACAAGATTTTCGCTGTGGCAAGTAAAGGTGAGAGCTGTGTTGACGCAGATGGATCTTGATGATGTTTTGCTGGGTTTTGATAGGATGCCAGCAAACTTGTCTATGGAGGAGAAACAACGGAAGGATCGGAAGGCTTTAGCGCAAATCCAACTTCATTTATCCAACAATTTACTGCAAGATGTTTTGAAGAAGAAGACAGCAGCTGCTTTGTGGCTCAAGCTGGAGCAGTTATGCATGACAAAGAGTTTGACTAGCAAACTGACTCTAAAACAGAGGTTGTATTCTCATCGCATGGCGGAAGAAGGGTCGCTGCAGGACCAGCTTACTGTGTTCAAGGAGATCATTGCAGATTTGGAGATGTTGGAGGTAAAATATGATGAAGAAGATCTAGCCTTGTCCTGTTGTGTTCGCTACCCAATTCTTTTTCATCATTTCGTGATACTATTCTGTATAGTCGTAACACATTATCCATTGAGGAGGTATACGACGCCCTATTCTCAAAAGAGAAGATGGAGTTGTTGATTGGAGATCCTGCATCTAGGAGTGGAGATGCTCTTGTTACTCATGGTGATCGACGGAGGGGTAGATCGAAAGTGAAGTACAGCAATGTGTATTGTTATTACTGCAAGAGGAAAGGACACATCAAAAAAGATTGCAACAAGTTGCAATGTAAAGGTGATTTACATGCAAATCATGTGGGACAATCAGGTAATTCGAACAAGACTAATATTGCTGAAAATTTTTGTGATAATGGAGATGTGATGTTGGCTGTATCTGACGGGGAATCCAAAGCTGAGGAGTGGATTCTGGATTCTGCTTGTTCGTATCATATGTGTCCCAATAGGGCTCTGTTTCAAACATATGAGACGGTGAAGCAAGGTGGAGTTGTCATGGAAAACAACCAATCTTGCCGGGTTACAGGAATCGGTCGAGTCAGATTGAAGCTACAGGATGGAACAGTGAAGACACTTGATCAGGTTCGTCATGTTCCAGACTTGACAAAGAATCTTATATCACTGAGTACTTTGGATGAAAAAGGGTACAAATTTTCTGGTGGAGGTGGAGTCTTGAAGGTTCGAAGGGGTGTCCGGGTTGTACTGGAGGGACAGAGGAAATCCCAGTTGTACATCTTGCAGGGAAGCGCAAAACCAGTTCAGAGACATTTGGACAAGTTCAGTACCGTGGTGGACATTCAATTTGGTACAGTACCTCTCGGGTTTGGCTCTGGGTCATTTAAGAACTTTGCTCAAGGGAGTGTTGGTGATTCCGCTTTGCTACCAATTTTAGCGAGTACACTGTGTTCTTGTAATGCCAATGGACTCATGGAGCGTACGTACAGTTTTGGAGATGTCTGTAATACTTTAGAAATCATTGAAGATGACAAAATTGGCAAGG